TAGCTCTTTTGGGGCAGGTGAGATGACAGCCTTAACCAAGGACCAAGTTACATCAGTCTTGACATTTTCCCTAGTTTTAGTGACCTGTTTAATTGCCCTAGGCAAGAAGTATTAGGTGCCAGACAGGTAGTAAAGAATGCTGATGACATTTTCATGCCTCTGAGTCGAGAAAGAGTACAGGCAGCCGATTCTGAGGAGTGGGGAGAAAGGAGTGGTCCCTTTACAAAGGGGACTCACTTCATGTAGCATCAAAATGCCTAAAAAGTGTTCTTCCAGTTTTGGTGAGTGCTTTATTAGAAATGGAGGTGAGAGCTGCTATTTAAAAGAACTTTGCAATCAGCGCCGTAAGGGAGACAATCTTTTTGTATTGTGCATCATCCCTCCAGCCTATTCAATGAGTTTGGAGTTTCGTGGACCAGCTTATTCTGGGCCTGGCAGCCTCTCTTCAGCCTAGCAGCCTCTGACAGAGCTTGCTGTAATGGCCTGACATGCTTTGTTTGGTGTTGCTACCCAAAAGTGGATCCTGAGGTCTGGAGTGAGTGGGGCAGAGTTGATGGTAGGTAGTCAGCGTGAGTGGTTCCCTGCAGTTGGCTCAGTGCCAGGAATGAACCCCACAGGGGACTTCAGGGTTTCATTTTGGGGAGAGTCATAGAAACCTGCCTAAGAATATCCATGCCTTCAAAAACATTAACCCACTAATTTAAGATAACATTCCCATTGTTTGTGAAAAACAACTTGTTCAAGCTACTGTTTTTAACTATTTTGTTCAAAGAGGGAGAGCTGACTTCTGAATGGTGCAAGGGAAACCTGCATTCAGATACAGCATCTGTATTAGGCAACGTGAGGAAATCTGTAGCTGCTCCGTGTAGGTAAGACATCAGAGCACTAGCTGGTTTGCAGGTCTGTCTTCCAGCTCGAAGGATACAAATGGCACGGCCCAGCCTCTTAGATCCATCAAATGCTACACTGGAAGGGGGGCTTCCAGACCAACGTCTCCCAACACCCACAGGTATTATTCACAGTTGTTACATAACACAGAGATTCTGCAGTCAGATAAACTTGGGCAACACAGGTCTAGATCAAGTCAGACAGGTTTATTTTGGAACTTCTCAGAGCCTTTCCTGTGCTGATGTGTATCAAGAATCTGCTGAAGCGACCAGACTGTGAATTTCTCTCTAATGTCCTTGACATTAGAGCGTTTCTAGACCAGTGTTCTTCCAGACAATACTTTTGGAAACCTTAATTAAGAGCAGCATCTCTCAGACTTGAGCATGTGCCTGGTGGAGGGCTGCTTTCAGTGCGGTTTATTGGATGCACCTCCCAGAGTTTCAGCATTTCTGACAAGTCCCCAGGTGATGCTGATGGTCCGGGAACCTGAGAACCACTGGTCTAGGCTTACCCCTTCGTTCCCCAGAGAAGAAAACAGTCAAACTATCGGATACTTACTTTCAGTACCATTAATTGAGCCAGTCACCTGCTAAGCACTTCTCATGACTGTTTCTAAGGGCAAGTATGATAGTGGGATCCAGTCCCCTGAAAGGCGATAGTGCCGCGCACATCATTGCTGTCAGGTTACTGTTTACCCTGTGCCACTCACCGCCATAGAAGGGCTGGCGCTTCAGGCAGGGTATCCACCCGAGACTAGTCAAGGTCTTCCTGTCCTTGGCATCAGTACTGGGAACATAAATTCTGTCTGTATTCAATCCTCTGGCCCTTCATTTTCTCATCTATAAATGGAAGAGGATGGAAATTATTTTTATGGGTGGTTACCACTTTCTCTAGCATTCCATTTGATTTTTACTCTTGAGTTACTTCTTTTTCTGAGTGTCTGGTGCTCTCCTGTTGTCCAGTCTGTCACCATGCTAAGCGCTGGAGACTTAAGAGTGTTAGCCGTGCAGGGGCGCACTGCATTTTAAAAGAGCATTCCTGAAGAAGAGCAATGGCAGAATCCCAAACAGTGTGGCCCTAGGTAGCGAAGCGTAATAGTAATAACTATTGTTAAGTTCTGTTGGAGAAGATTCCAGGGTTGTCCATGCTGCCTTAGATGTCACAGGCCTTGTGAAGCGCTTAGCGCGGTCTCTGGCACAGACTAAATATCAGGGTCAGTTTGGTTAAGTATATTGTGTTAAATTTTCTTACAGGGTCTTGAGAAGCCTCTGGAATTGTGTGCAAGGCTGAGTGTGCACGTTTGAGAGAGAAGTGGGGGGAAGGGAGAAAAGGGGGTGGTGTGTGTGTGTACACTTTCTGCACATGGCATGAGCTGTCAGGGGCCATTGCCTTGCATGGAAGGCCAGCCCTTGTTACATGATTCTAATGAGGAGTCCTCAACTCCTGCTGAACTGTGTGAGAGGGCTCTGACCCAGGTAGTCTAAAGGGAACTGTAGGTCCCCCCACCTCCAGCCCATTAAAAATTGTAAAGCAACCCTTAGGGGATGGGCAGGAGTGACACGGGGCCAAAAGCCACAGCAGAACAAGCAGCCCGAATGGGGCTAAGAGGGAACCCTCTCCTCATTACCCCCACACAGTGATTAGTGCAGAGCAGCTTGTTCCTGGGGCCAGCTCCCAAACTCTGCTGTGCACCATGAGCCCTGCCGCTCTGCCTGGCTGCAGTGTGGGAACTTGAAGGAGCCGCTCAGACTTGGCCTGGGGGGCACTGCCCTCTGCTGGAAGGTGGGCGCAGCGGAGCCTCTGAGGGCTGGAAGAGGAGGCAGCCGTGGGTGTCTGTGGATGCGGTGAGAAGAGCCCCCACTTGGCAAGTACACAATGTCCTAGCCTGAGACACAAGAGCGATGAATTCAGGGGTGTGTGTGTGCCACCTGCCACCACATCCACTCTGAGGAGCAGCCACCTATTGCATCGCTGGCGTCCTCACTCCTCAGCTGAGCACAGTCTCCCTGGACCCCACAGCTTGGAACCCGTCTTCGCGTCACCCTGGAGTGCACCTCAACCAGGCTGACGAGAGCCTGAGGACAGGCTGCACGCACATCCCCCACCCTGCAGGCACCTGTGCGAGTGAGAACATTGGGGCTGTGTTCAAGAGCTGCTCACAGAGGCTGGGGCAGGGCTTCCTTCTCGCAGTCACCTGCACAGAAAGCAGAAACATGCCATCCACTGTGCGGCTCTCCCCCAGGCAGCCCTCCCCTTCCTGTGACTCCTGTGAAGCACCGTCACGTCTTGGTCTCATCGGGGCCCGGTGCCCCAACCCACACCCAGGCCACACCAGTCGCACCACTGCGCTCCACACTGACCCAGTGCACACAGACCCATCCCCTCTACTGTGTTTAGGTGTCCAGCCCCACACCTGCCATGGGGGCTCTGTGTCCCTGCCCTGTCCTTTCCTACTTGTCTGAGGAAGGCAGCTCCAACTCTGCTCTTTGCTTAGTGAGCAAGTGGATTCAGATGCACCAGGCCGTAAGCCGTGGGTAGGTATGAGTTCTTTCTTCCCACCTCTGCCCTTCCTCCTCCCCTGGACTCTTCTGTCCCACTTCCTGCCTGCTCGTACCTCACCCCCATCTTGCCCTCTATAGCCTTCTTTCTTTTGTTCTGCACTAATTTCCCAGAGGAGTATATTTTCCAGCCTCCCTGCTCTACCTGGTCATCTGGTCTCTGATCGTTTCTGGCATGGTCGCCAGAGGAGACCCGACACACAGGCACCTAAGGGGAGGGGTATTGTAGGCAGAAGCTCCAGTGCCCTAAGCCCGCATTTGCTCACTCAGTGAGGCTGGTGAGGAAGGAACCGCTCATGAGGAAGCCCGTGGGGTGGGGCTTGGACCATGGGCAAGGTCGGGGTGCTGTGTCAGATTTCTTTAGGACCTAATTTCCAGACATCCCTGCTTTTAGAGTCGGGTTAGGGGATCTCATGGGGCCTCATCCTGGATTCTGACCCCACTGAGCCCTGTGATCATGGTCATTCAGAATACCCAGACCTAGTTGGCATCCCCACCTGTAAAATGAGGAGATGAGGCAGGAAGTTTCCATCAGTCCCTTCCGAGCCCTGCATCCTGCAGCGCTGCCTCCCAGACCCCCTGCATCTCCATTTCAGCTAGAATGGCTCTTGCTTGGTCATTACCCTTTGGAGATCTGAGTAGGTCCTCCTCTGCGGCCCTGCAGGAGGGCATCACCTTACCTGGCCCCACAGGCCTTACCTTCTCCACTCCCAGCAGTGCTTCTGAGCTGCTTACGGTGGTCATGGGGAGACCTTGCCTCTGTCAAAACTGACACGGCCAGTGAGGAATGCTGTTAAAGACAAAGCGCACTTGCCCTTTTGGGTTTTTTGCCTTTCGTTTTCATGTTTTCCTTGGCATAGGACCCGGAATATATTGCCAGGTGGACAGTGTTGCTCAGTCCACCTGTGTTTGGGGCTAGCCTTCCACTTTGGAAAGCTAATGGAACAGACAGGGCTGCTGGTCCTACCTGGGAAGCTCCTTGCTAAAAGCTGCAGGCCCATCTCAGCAGAGTGAGCAGAGGGCCTGGGGTACAGGCACCCTCAGTGCCAAGAAGCCAGAACCCTTTTCCTAGAAGAACAAGAACAGAATCACAGTGAAGTCCTAGCCAGGCCACTGGCATGGGTGGGCTCCTTAACTGCTCCTTCCTTATCACAGCAGATATGTTTCTACACTCTGCTTAGAAAGCCATTAGACAGGCTTTCACCAGTCTAGTCCTGGGAAAAGGAAATCGCTGGGCTGGATCTTAACCTCAAAATAGCTGTTAACCTTTAAAAGGAAGATGAGAGCAGAGGAGTTGGTGGTCCCTCGGGCGTGTCTCGAGGTGGGTGCTTTCCTCAGAGAGCTTGCCCATGTGTTCATAAGGGTGTGTGGAACATCTCTCAAGACACTGCTCTGATGCTTTTCAGCCCTGTGAGGAAGAGGTCCTCACAGGCTAGTGTGAGTGGGTACCATGTTGCAACAGTGGGGAAGTGGTAGGCAAGCGGGACCTTCCGTGAGAATGGGGATGTGTTGGAGAGCCCTGGCTCACGGCCTTCTCCCCACATGTCTTTTCAGATGCGCTGGCTCCCTCCCTCCGAGGCTACTTCTCAGGGCTGGAAGTCCCGTCAGTTCTGCTGAATACTATGTAAGTACTCGGTTTCCTATGAGTATGCAAAGCCCTTACCACACTTGTGTACATGGTGTCTGCGCCGTGAACACAGCTCAGGCACCTCCTTTGGCTGTCCAACTTTGTTAAACTCATTTGAAGAACTACATGGCACTGCGTCTTTCTGAGAAGTTTTCACCTGGGCATGCGTTCCACTCTGAGTCTAACTTACAAAACCAGTACCTGGCCTCCCACTATAAGCAGTCAGTGCTAGTTTCTGTAGAGCAGCTGTCAGAAAATTTTATTACGTAATTGTAGTTCACCTGCTGCCAGCATTAAACCAAAACCTTAAGTTACAGGACTAGTGATCCACTGACTTACACAGTAGTTTATTATGCGAGTCTTCTTACGGGAGGTTTATTAGAATGAGTTTCCCTGCATACATCATATCCAAAGTCCTAATCTTTATAAAAGACCTCATTTTTCCACTGAAGGCAGAGTGCACAGATCCAGCAGGCTTTCCTTTAAGGTCTTCATCATGAAGGAAACAATATTGTAAATTGGCATTTTAGGCCTAACTTTGCTTCAGAGAACTACCAAATGAAGTTTTTCCTATAAACATAGAATTTCTACAAAATACCAAATGCCTTCTGTAATTCAGAAATTCTGAATTTCTATTAAGTACAAGGCACTGTTCTTCTGAGCTCTAATTTGGTATGTAAATTTGGAGAGTCTACTTAGTTTTTAGACTGTTATAGTTCCACCATCAGCCTTCTCTTGGTTTGCATGGTTCCTTCTCAAAATAGGAAGAAAAATGAGAAGAGGGAGGGCCTGATCCTCATCCTGTTAGAAATGCTAAAGAGATCATGGCAAACCTATGCACCTAATTCCACCGTAGTGTTATGGGCCCTTCCTTGGAGACTTGTTAAGATAAAAATACTTCCAAACAAAATGAATATTCCTTTTCTTTTTCCATCATTAATACTGAGTCCATCTGCTTTTATTAGATCATTTGAGGCCATTTAGACAGACTCCTCTGGAGAGGCATTCTGTAGAAAGAACAGGCCCCTGGTCAACTTAGATTCCACTTACATGGAGAAATGTTTCAGACCTCTCACAAGAAAACGATTGAAGAAATGGTAGACACTAGAGCTGGCCTCGTGCAGGTCAGTGCCCTGTCAGTGAGGAAGAAAGAGAGCATTGAATATGATTTTTAAACAGTGCTGGGTTTATTCAACACAGGTAAGCCGCCCTGTTGACCTGAAGTCTCGGTTGGTGGGTCAGGTCACTTTCAAGATGTGGGAGGACTTCTGCGTTGAACTTCATTTTCGAAGTTCTCATCACGCAGGAGGCCAGCCCTTTTGGATGATCTCCGGTCCGAGGTCAGAAGACCCCCCTTCTGTGTTGGCAAAGGAGAGGCCTCTCCAGACAGGAGAGTAATGAGCATGAGCGTGTCAGAAGCCCACAGACTAGTCTCTGAGCAGCCAGTCATAGCCCAGCCACATTCACGGCTCTTCCTCTGACAGCAGGGATAGGAAAGTTGAGAGAATGCTCCGCGCTTTAGGACATCAGCATCAGTAAGTTAAAACTGTATATACTCTTCCTCTAACCCAACATATTTCATGTTTTAACCCAATTATTTCATATTTGAGTGTGGCCAAATAATAATAGTCCTCTGGGGTGATCACAGGTGATGTACACAGATCCTTCCAGGGTCAGACAGTGAAACAAATTTCTTTACCCAAAGATTCTCAGAGCCTTTATTACCATATGAACATCATGAATATTTAAGAGGAAGGGGCATTTCTCAAGCTTATTTAGGTCAGATCATCCTTTTTTCACAAACTCTTTAAGTGACTAATGCTTCATGTTTGGGGAAACCATATCCTAACCTCTTAGCCAGAAATGAAACCAGAGGCTCCCATATATAGAGATCCTTGGCTGAGTATTCATCTGTGATGATATCTAGAAACCCAGACAGTGTAGCTTCTTCAGCTGCTTTAGTTTGTCCTTCATTCTGAATTACGTCTCACGTGCACACACGTGTGTGAGGACCGTTTTTAAGTGGTACTGTTAGGAAATGGCAATTGTATTTTAAATGTCCTTTCGTAGTTAACAATTCATAATACAGAAAATGTTCTTTTAAAATACTTAATATTTTGTGAATTCTAAAAGTTTGCTTTTTAAGAGAGTTTTTTGTTTTGTTTTGTTTTGTTCCAGGGAATACCATTGTTAAGCTATATAAGACCATATTTGAGATATAGTCTAGGGTCTATTAAGTCCAGAATTTCGTTAAGTCATGTTCCGTCCTCATGTACCCATAATGAACTTTTAAGCACAGATCCTAAAGCCATACTCATGTGGTTGCATAGGAACCTCTGTCCGTTACCATGGTGCCGCCGGCCCAGCACTGCCTTACGACTCCAGACAGCACTGTTGACACGGACCCTGCTGTGGGTACCTCCTTCTTCCGTGACAGTGTGTTTAGCTCTCCACTCTCACAGGCTGGTAGGGTGTTCAGCTGGAGGTGTCTAGGATGAGGAAACCAGAAATTCCAAAACCTACGAGAGACGGCATGGCTTGAAACATTGCCCTGGCCCTCAGCGTAAACTGACAGTTGAGGAAGTTCACACACCAAGCACATCTGAGACCCAAGAGTCAGCAGAGACAGAGCAGCCTCCAGATAGTGGAGAGGGAGCTGAAGGAGCAGGGGTGTCAGGCCACTTCTATCAGAGCCAGATGCTCTAGGAAAGTCAGTCGCAGTGAGAGAAGACCTTCCACTTGGCAGTTTCATTTGGTAGAGAAGCTGGCAAAGGATGCTGGCCTAGGACCTAAGGAAGGGCTCTTTTTTTCCCCGTTAAGAATGTACGTAAGCTCCAGAGAAGACATCCATTGTGAAGCAGTTGGGTGGGTTTCAGTTACAGAGACCCTGAGTTTTGTTTTTATCTGCTCACCTAATTTTTTTCCAAATCATTTCTCACAGAGCCTTCAGCAGGAGCTCTGAAGGCAGCAACGGCTACCAAGAAGGATCAGCAATTGCTGTCCTTTGGAAGTACGGCTTATAAAAACCCTTTAAGGTCTGAATAAGAATATGTAATGGGCCAGGTGCAGTGGCTCATGCCTGTAATCCCAGCACTTTGGGAAGCTGAGACAGGTGGATCACTTGAGGCCAGCAGTTTGAGACCAGCCCAGTCAACATGGTGAAACACCATTGCTACTAAAAATACAAAAATTAGCTGGGCGTGGTGGCAGGTGCCTATAATCTTCACGTACTAGGGAGGCTGAGGCAGGAGAATCGCTTGAATATGGGAGGCGGAGGTTGCAGTGAGCCAAGATCGTTCCACTAAACCCTGGTCCAGGCAACAGAGCAATACTGTGTCTACAGAAAAAAGAAAAGAATATGTAATGTCTCCTGTGGATGAATCATTTATGATGAGCTGAGCTTGGGCCATGGGCCAGACTCCAATCTTGGAGCCTGTCGGGATCAGGTAGGGAAGGAGTATGGATAATGGCTGCCATTATTCCTGCACATGGGAAGCCTAGTCTCCCAGCCCATCTAAAGTTAGACCAGCTCAGTGCGGCTGTTACTTCTGCTCATTCTAGTGTCTTGAACCAAGTCCTTTCCAAGACAGCCTATAATCCAAGCTGTGTAATTTTAGGCAAGTGCAAATTAGAATTGGAAACAATGGTGCTGATGAGCTAATATAAACATTTTAAACCAAAACAACTCTGTCAAAAAGGCCAAATGAAAGTCACATACCACTCATTGGCAGAGGCTCACATGGCTCTCTCCATTCGGTGGAGAGGGCTTTCTTCCCCAACATGGAAAGAACAGATCTGAAAATGAGCAGGAGTGACGCTGTCCTTCCAAATCCTGAATGAGGTCCTCCAAGGCATTTTCATTTATCTTCTTGGACTTCTTAGTGCTAAAGAGAAATCGGTGACTAGAAATATAAATAAGTACTTTATCTCCAGACAAACATTTGTTGTATCTGCTGTGTGCAAGATAGATGAACATAAAAAACAGGCCTGTGCCCCTCAGGTGCTTAAGTTCTAATGGCAGAGAACTGTGGACACATATAGGAGAGGGGAGTTACTGCTCATGAGCCTGCAGGATCAGCCTGCTATGAGAGCCACAGCTGAGGGCATGTACAGGGCGTGTACACGCTGTTGCCGGGGCATAGGCAAGACCACGAGGAGAGGGGTAGTCACAGGAACAGGGTGTTCCTGGCGTTTTAATTTGCTCAGCCTCTTACTGACGGATGGTGTCGAGTCTGGCCCAGGCTGTGTCTACATCACTAGAGTTTTGCTGATGGTCTAGCCATGTGCCAGAGCGCCTAGAGTATAGAATCACGATTGAAAATTGTCAGTTTCCCAGATACACTGAGAACAGGAGAACACGAGCAACACTGCTGTCAGTCCTTGCATGCAGTGAGAGTTAGGCAGCTTTCCTTGATGGATGTTAAGGGAAAGTAGAGTTGAACTGTTTGTGAAAGGGAAGAACCAGTATTTAGAAGCCAGGTGGAGTGTAGGGGGAGGTCTTCTTTCAGGATGTTTGAAATTTTCCTGGCCATGGACTGGGACCAGAGCCCAGAAATTACAAGCACATACAGTTACAGCGCCCCCGCCCCACCCCAAATTGGAGAAGGAAATGGCAAGAGAAAACACTGCAGAATTTGGAGCAATTTCTGTTATGGGTGGAACGGCCTCACCTGTCTTTGGCTAGAGCTTGGAGTCATCCTCAGGGGAGCCCCAGGCGCTGGTGCCCAGGCAAAGCTTAGAGCTTAACAAGGAGGAATGGCCCAGACAGCCGTGGTGGCTCCTGCTGTCACCCTAATTTTAGAAGAGAGCCACGTGTCCATGTCACACTATCACAGTGCAATGCACCCAGCAACCAGTATGAGGCTGTGAGGTCTGCACATCGCACCTAAGACTACACAAATGCCATAACTGTCCATCATATCTAAGGCTAATGCAGTGAGCGGCCACAGCATCTCTGGGAGGAGATGGGTAATATGTAATCAAATAGACATAACAGT